CCATCTCCATGGACACCACCACGGTCCCTCCCACATGACTGAAAGTCCTGGTGACTTCCATCTGCACAGCACACCTCTCAGAGGAGCCAGCAGGATCTTTTCAAAACACAAATCATTTCATTCCCGGACTTAAAACCCTCCAGTAGTTTTCCATTTTATTTATTTACTTTTGAGATGGAGTCTTGCTCTGTCACCCAGGCTGGAGTGCAACAGGGCAATCTCGGCTCACTGCAACCTTTGCCTTCTGGGTTCAAGTGATTCTCCTGCCTCAGCCTCTCAAGTAGCTGGGATTACAGACATCCACCACCACACCCAGCTAATTTTGTATTTTTAGTAGAGACAGGGTTTCTCCATGTTGGTCATGGTGGTCTTGAACTTCTGACCTCAGGTGATCTATCCACCTCAACCTCCCAAAGTGCTGGGATCACAGGCCTGAAACCTAAGTTATGATAATAGCCAATGCTTACTGAAGGTTTACCTGGGTCTGATGCCCTGCTGAGCCCTTGACATTGATCATCTCATTTCATGCTTCACCACAAGTGGGAGACAGGTGCTATGATCATCGTCATTTGTTGGATGAGAACATCAAGGCACAGAAAGGTTAGGCAGCACGCACCAGATCCCACTGCTGGGCAGGGAGCCAGGCAGTCTGGCTCTCCTAGCCACGGTGCCCACAGCTGCCAGGGCCTGCCCTCCCCAGAGCTGGAGAGAGACACCAGCCCCACTGAAGGCAGAGTAGAGGTGGAGAGGAATGAATTTTCATGACAAAATCTGAGCCGCAGGTCCAGCTGTGTCTGAAGCTATAGGACTTTTGTCACCTTAGGACTTTTGGTTATGAAAACCAATAAAGTCCCCTTCTTTTCTCCTTAAGCTGGCTTGAGTTTTTTTCTTCTCTTTGTTGCTTGCAAGAGAAAGGAGCCTGATTACTTTCCAGTCCTCCTAGGCAAGTACCCCTAACTGATTTTCCATTTGCAGCTTGCACACAGCCACTGCTCGTTGAACGCCAGCAGACAAGGATGGACTGCGCTCCCTTCCTGTCCATTCACCGCCGGCTCTGTACCCTGACACCCAACTGTGGCCAGCCCAGTGCCTCTTCCCCTTTAGGCTCCCAGCAAGGCCTCGTTCCCTAGCAACCACCTCAATTAGGCAACCATGCCATTTATCGGGATGCCAATTAATTATAATGATCTTAATGCTCTTCCAATTAGACAGTGCCTTCAATCCGGCTGGGCCGGGGTGTCTGCAGCATCTCCACCAAGGCCCATTACAAGGAGACCCAGGGAAAGCAGGTCTCAGGGAGGGCTCCCTCACCTGCAGGTCAGCATTGAGAGGCCCCCATCTTCCACATCCACACAGGCCCAGGCTTGACACAGAGCACCCTGGCACCACCCGAATGGCCACCTTTCTGAGGGCAGGCCAGCGTGAGCGACTCCATCACTGACCACAGGCAGGTCTCACCTCTAGGAGAACTTTCACCCTCTGGCCATTGTGCTCTGAGTGGGCTGAAATCATCATCTCAGATCCCCTGGCTTTTCTATCAGTTACTTTTGATGTTTCCTTTTGCATCTGACTGAGAGAAGGGAGAGTGGAGTGTGTGTCTGCTCACAAGCAGAAGGAAAAAAGCACCAGGCAGGTGCATGTTTTCCTTGGGGCAAAAAACCCCAAATACAAACCCAGGACTCTCCGTCCAAACAGTGAGGTTTATGGAAAGTTGTGGTGCTTTTACTTTGCAAAGTTTTACTGTCTGAGGTGTCTTCTTCCCCTGCGTGTGTGTTTCTTCTACATCTGGGACAAGAGCCAAGGTCATGGCGGAGAGCCCAGTGGTTCCAAGTGGACCCTGGAGCTTGAGGGCCTCTTGAATTCCCACTCTACCGGTGACCACCTGTAGGCAAGTCACAATCCTCTCTGTGCCGCAGCTTCTTTTTTTCTTTTTTTTTAAAGACAGAGTCTTACTCTATCACCCAGGCTGGAGTGCAGTGGCACCATCTTGGCTCACCGCAACCTCCACCTCCCGGGTTCAAGCGATTCTCTAGCCTCAGCCTCCAGAGTAGCTGGGACTACAGGAGTGCACCACCATGCCCAGCTAATTTTTGTATTTTTTAGTAGAAATGGGGTTTCACCATACTGGACAGGCTGGTCTCAAACTCCTGACTTTGTGATCTGCCTGCCTCGGCCCCCCCAAAGTGCTGGGATTATAAGCATGAGCCACTGCATCGTTTTTAATATGGCAACAGTTGCAGTACTTACCTCGTAAGTGGTTTGTGTGGATTTAATGAGTGAGGTAGAAGGGCTTAGATCAATGCCTCAGATCAGGCCTGTACAAAACTACCTAAATGTTATCAATTATCTTAAGTCTGGAATAAACCTTTGAACTACAAGCTGGTCAGAAGTGCTGCTGTTCTTGTGTAGGACAGAGCTTCTGGATGCCTTCTGCGGGGCTCGTCTAAGATCAGATAACAGCCAACAGCCTAACAGAATTGGGTGATATCTTGCCTGGTTAACCCAACTGCCCTCTTGAGGCAGGTCCAGGCAGATAAACCAGTGCCAGAAAAAGGGAGAAGGAAATGTTATCTCCCAAATCAGGTGTGAAACCGCATATCAACTCGGTCCTTTGGACAGCTGCTGAACTGGGAGACGCGCATGCACACGAGTACAGGCGCGCACACTGCTATGCTGTCCTCCCCAAGCCCAGGCTTTTACAATCAACTCATCATTCTGCTCTCAAGGTTGAAAATTTAACATGTTATTAGGGTTTCAGAAAAAGCCATAAATTCAAATAAAAAAACCCAAGAAGTGCACACAAAGCTCAAACCCCAAACCCACACTGACCCACAGCTGCAGCAGTGATGCCAACATCATGGCTTTTATGTACACAAACTTGGCCGGGGAAGGAAGAGACCTCGGTGTACAAAGGTCCAACGTGCTGTCCGCCAAGCCCACCACCTTCGCCTTTCAAGCTGCTTATTAGAACGCTAAATTACACACCCGACAGGCTGTCTGGCTGAGTTTTCTCTTCTCTATGATGTGGGACAGACAAAGCTGAGGAGAACATCTCTTACAGGGAAAGGGCCTTCATTCTGTCCTCCCCACCCCCCTTCCTATACTTAACGATTGGCTCTAATTTAATTAGAAACCTCTGGTGGTTCCGTAATGGGGGGCGGAGGCTTAGTAAAGAAATCCCCTTCACTATTCACTACAAGCTGAAATCCGGAGAGAGTGCAGATCCGGGGTTGTCCTCCAGAGAAAGCCCTTCTCACCTGCTCCGTCTCCCCCTGAGAATCTGCTCCAGCGCAGCCTACCCATCTCTGCCCCAAGGGGGGGGGGGGCTGTGGGAAAGAGGCAGGGGACAGATGGAGGGGCGAGAGGGCGGAGGTCCCAACACGCACAGATGAGCAAATACCCAGATTGAAACGTAAGCTGAATGTAATTACTTGGTTAATTAAATATTGACTTTTAACTCAAAAAGTGATTAAAACAAGCTGCAGGAAGACTGTCCAGAAAGGGGGGTAGGGAATGAATCAGAGCTTTCAAGAAGGGGGAGGAGGAAGAGGAGGGGGTTGTCACAGGCAGGTCTGGCTTGCTCTTCCTACTGTGTGCTGGGCCTACTGCGTGCAGGGGGCGTGGTCCTCGGTCTCTGGGCAGGTGGGGAGTTGAGGACCGGGGCCACTGTGCAAACCATGATTGCAGGCTTCTCTTCCCACCTTCCACTCTGAGACGACATCTCTCTACCCTGCTGCCCTCCAAGTGAACCGGCAGCTTCTGGCGCGCAGGAGCCAGATCCTGTTGAGCCGCGTTTCCCTGGAACAGAACGCGGTGCCTGGCACGAGGGGGTGCTCCAGAAATGCTTGTAGAACGAATGAAAGAACTACTATAAGGACTGTTTGTTTGGAAAACTGCACTCCTAGAATTCACCGCTAGACTTCTGAAGCCCCGGGGAGCTGGGGAGGGGAGCATCTCTCCGCCGCGCGATGGAAACTGGTTCTGCCCTGGCCTGGCAGGAAGTCTGCCTTTTCGATCCTATTTGTCCTCTCGGTGTCTGCGAGTTTCCAGTCACTCTGAAGATCCGGGCCACGGCTTCCCCGAGTCCTGCCCGGACAAGCCCCACGTGTGCTGGCTTCTAGCCGGTCCCTTGGTTCTAAACCCAAAGGGTCAACAAAGCTATGCCCCTGCGGACGGCGGGCCCAGGCGCGTTTCCCCCGGGGATGCCCGGGCTCGGGGTGGCGCGTCCGCGGGTCAGGGGCGCGGCGGGAAGTCCTCGCCCTCCCGCCCAGCCCGCCGGCGGGGTCAAACAGGTCATCCCCCTGCGGCCGGCCGGCGCCTGAGCGTCCCTGCTGCCCGCCGGGTCCCACCTCCGCGCGCAGCGCTGGGGCCGGTGCCGGGCGGTCAGGACCGGCCCCAGCTTACCTGGGCGGCGCTCGCGGCCGGGCTCACGCCGGGGAAGGCTCCGGCCTCCGGAAGCCCCCGCCCGAGCCCCACGCCCCCTCGCCGCCCCTGCCCCCGTGCCCCACTCACCAGCGCGCACTGCCCCGGCAGCCTCACCCGGCGCTGGGCGCCGCCGCCTCTGCCGCAGGCCGGCCGGGCCGCGGGGCGCAGGGGACTCCGCGCCGCCGCCGCTGCTGCCGCTGCTGCTGCCACCGCCGCCGCCGCCGCTGCTGCATCCCCCGGCGAGCGCGGCTGCTCCTCCTCCTCCCTCCTCCCCGCCCCCCAGCGCCGCCGCCGCCCCCGGCCCCCGCCCCGCGCACCGCCCCTGCCAAAGTCCGGCTCCGCGCCCCGCCCTGGCCGCTCTGAAATCGCCCCAGCCCGGCTGGCCGCGCGGCCCCAGCCAGCCCTTTGGCACCGCGCGGCCCGCCCGCCTGCCGGCCGCCGGCCTCCGCGCGGGGGAGGCGGGCGCGCGCCGGGGCGGGGAGCGTCGGGCCGGGAGCCGCGGACTGCGGGGGCCCCGGGCGCGGGGGCCCATCCGCGAAGCCCTCCTCGAGCCCTCCGCGCTCAAGTGCTTTTACCTCCGGCTCTGGGGACGCGCGACCTGCCACCCGGTCCTGCCAGTCCGCGGCGCACGGCCCCGGCCCCGAAGTCCAGCTCGGGACGGGGCAGTGGACGCAGAGCTGGGGTCCCGGCGGCTCTCGGCCTCCCGATGCCTCCGGACCCTGCTGGCCGCGCTCCCGGCGCCGAGCGCGCACCCTCGCCGGGACACACAGACACACACTCACCCGACACACACTCGCTCCCGCTCGCCCTCGGCGCAGAGTTGAAACAGATGTGGGATTCGCCCAGGAGCTGGAAAGGAGGGAGGGACCCTAGCCAGAGCGTGTGTGCGCGCGGGTGTGTGTGTGTGTAACACACACACCAGGGGGCATCTCTAATAAATCAAATATAGTGATACATTCAGGAGGGCCATCGATCCGGTCCACTTGGCTGGAAACGAAGTGAATCTGCCTCTTTTCTGCTTTCTTCTTCTCTCTCGGGGCTGGAGGGAGCCAAGTGTTCCTTTGGGCGTGCGACAGCCCGGCCGGGCGCTTCCCTAGTAATGACACGTTAATAAATGTTTTCTTTTATCTGCTTTCACAGGACTCGCTCCGGTCTGCAAACACTCGACTGCCTTTGCTGAAAGCCTCGCGCTCGCCTCCAGCCACACACATTGGCCGTCGGAGAGGCCGGCGCCGGCCGCCACCCGCAACTCAATCGCAGGGCGAACGGAGCTGCCGGTGCGCGCCCCTAGAGCTCCCCGAAAAATTAACTTGGGCTTGAGTGAAAATAGCAGCCGTTGCCCAGAAATGGCCCGGGAGTAGCAAAGAAAAGAGAAACCGGGTTCCTCCGAAAGGGGAGGAATTCGACTCAAGGGGGTGCTGTCTGCCGCGGTTTCCGAAGTCCCTCGCGCCACGGAAGAGGCCGGAGTGGGGCCCGGCCTGACGCGGCTAGGCAAAGAGCGGACAGAGAACCCAAAAGCAGCTGCAGAAAACACAGCAGAGCTGCTAAGGGGAAACAGACGCTGCCGTAGGAAAGCACTTGTAAGCAGCAGTCACTTATTAAACCTTATGACAATCTCACACAGTAAGTTACTCTGCTCGTTTTACCATGGAAACCAGGAGGGGTTAAGGAACTGTCTGAAGATCACACAATTATAAGTGGTGGATCCCGTGAACCCAAGAAGCCTTAGCTGCAGGCTCATGCTCTTAAATTCAAGGATGTTTATACTTTTTAACCCAGCGTCTCCTTTCTCTGGTGTGATCTTCCATGCTAGAGTTGTCAGACTTAACAAATAAATACAGACATCCACGGGGAGGAACTTAATACTGAAAAAGTCTTCCTGTTTTAATCTGAGATTCAAATCGGATCTCCTGACTGGGTTTGGGGCTCTAGGCTCCTCCCCATAACCTCCATTAGCCACCTCAATCAAGTCAGAGCCTAAATAAATCAGAAACACCCTGAACTTGCTTTTCCAAATCCAATGCTGGCCTTTTTGGTATCACTGAAAAGGCTGATCGGCTCCCATCTTCTTTGCCTTGGGACAGAATATCAGGCTTCACTATCATAGACCAAAAAATAATGGACACCCCTCTCCTTCTGCCTCATCTCTGCAGAAGGACACATATATCGTTTAGACTTTTCTAGTAGTGGCATTAGAAAGTAAAAAGAAGCAGGTGAGGGCCAGGCACAGTGGCTGGAGCCTGTAATCCCAGCAATTTGGAAGGCCATGGTGGGTGGATGGCTTGAGCTCAGGAGTTCGAGACCAGCGTGGGCAACATGGTGAAACTCCATTTTCACAAGAAATACAAAGGTTAAGCTGGGTGTAGTGGCATGCACCTGTGGTCCCAGCTACTCAGGAGGCTCAGGTGGGAGAATCACTTGAGCCTGGGAGGTCAAGGCTGCAGTGAGCCATGACTTCCACTGTGCTCCAACCTGGGTAACATAGTGAGATCCTGTCTGAAAACAAAGCAGGTGAAATTAATTTTAATATTTGTTGTTTACTTAACCTAGTATGTCCAAAATTGATCTCAATGTGTAATCAATATAAAATTATTAGTGAGATCTTTTTAGATTATTTTTTCTTACTAAGTTTTGTAACCCGGTGTACATTCTACACAGACGGCACATCTCATCTCAATTTGGACCAGCCACCTGTGGCTCAGGGTTCTCATGCTGGACAATGCAACTCTGGTAGGTTCAGTGGTCAGTGGCCATTTCCACCAGGTCATCTCATGTAATCCTCCTGACAATCTTTCAAGAAAACTGATGCCCAGAGAGAGAAATGGACTGGCCTATAGTCAAAAACTTGGCCAGTAGGATTTCAGCCCACTTGAGGCTGTCCCTGGTTTTGGGACATGTACCCCACTGCAGAAGCAATTTTCTTACTGGGTCCTCAGTGCCCATTGGGGGTGCCTCTGAGGCCTGGAGTGGAGGAGGGAGGCCCAGGAATGGGATCTGCCTGTTTCCTACTTTTTATGTTGGGTTCTGGAGAATATTTCAGGGGTGGGGAAATTTCCACTGCAAAAAAAGTTTTAAAAAACCACTGCATTACTGCACAGTGCCCTTCAGGCCTCGAGTTCATCAACATGCCTCTCCTGCCCACAATGTTTCCCTCCATCCTTCTCTGCTCATCAGGTAACCCCAGTCAGGGAGGGGAAGCTTACAGTCCCTTCTTCTGGGACTGCGGGCCTGACATGTAGCATTTGCTAATCTTTTTGGATATGTTCTGTTGCCATTGTTGCTGTTCAAAGAACTTATCCTTCCTTAAGTAGACAGGGACAGATTTTGTGTGTGTGTGCATGTGCACCTGTGTCCGAGCACATGTGTGTGTATGTGTTATTATAGGCAGCTGCTGTGGGTCATGTGTTTTAGTCTGGACTTAACTCACTGGCTCAGACACCCATGAGGTCAGAGGGTCTGCAAAGCTCCTCTGGCCATGTTTCCCCATAATTCCCAACAAACTCCCTGGTCCTCTGGGTTCAAGGCCTCAGCCTGTTTTCCAGGTCCTTCCAGGCAGATGAGGATTGCTGGCCCCATTCTGGAGCTCAGTGTCTGTCTGGGAGACGTGAGGGGCCTCAAGGACTCACATGTCCCCCAGTGGGGCTCAGCAGAATACTGGGCACCCCCGTGGCTTCCTGATACTCCAGCCCCTGCCGCCTTCACTCACACCGGGACAGCCTTTCTCCTCCCAAATCCGTCACCCCCATGACATCTCTTGGTATGATCCTGACCATCCTAGCTGGACAATCCGGCTTTTCAAGCTCCTTACACCGCCCCATCCTCCCCCGCATTGTTGATTTAACCTCAGGGGGACCTTTCTCTTGACGCCTCCATGCCTTGTTTCTTCCCTCGGCAAATTCCTTGGCAGTCCTTTTGTGCAGAACACTGTCGGGGTCTATCTCCCTTGCAAAGCCAGGGTTCCTATTTTCCTCCCTTGACTCAAGTGCGACCATTAAACAAAAATCATTCTTGCTATGTGTTTCTTTATCTCCATCAAGAGGCTGAAACTCAATCTGATTGTCCGAGCACTTCTGGCTGGATTTGGGTTGGAGTCGATGGGATTTTATGAGGGTTGTAAAAGTCAAGCTTTTAACATGTCTCAAACAAATTGGCGTGTAAAGGAGAAACATTAGAAGTAGGAACATGGCTGCAGACGGGAGGCTTGGGAATGCGAGCCGTAGAACTGGGGCACAGGTGGCTTTAATAACGTGCACAAGTTTGGCTGTAAGTTGCTTCTACAAGAGCAGAAGAGGCTGCAGAGCCACTCTCAGGAGGCTGAGATCCAACTTCTCAGTTCCTGAGTGCAGACAGTTTTGCATGGGTTTTAAAATACAAATTCCAGCATCATCCCTCACAATATAAATCTGTGGCTAATTCTGCTGAATTTTCACTTAGACCCAAGCTGTGTTGTTGGTAGAAATGCGATGGCATTACAGAAAAACTGTTTATATTTCTTGAGATATTGTGATAATGAAAAACAGTACCAGAAAGCCCCATTAAGTAAGAAGAACATTAATTGTATTTCCTGCTGCCTCCCTGGGCTAGCACACTGACACAGACATGCTTTACTTCAGCAAAACACAGTTAATCTCTGCAGCACGGTACCCATGTTCCCCTTTAATTACACATAATTGTATAGTCTAATTTACTCTAACGCCTAAAAGTGCACATTTATGAATCAAGGGCTAGTTTGGGAGGGAGGAGAATTATAAACAGGTATAATTGCAGTCTCCTGGGGACTGCTTATGAGTGATTTCAAAGAATGATGATGTTTATTCTGAATTCTTACCAGTGACAGACAGTAGGGATGCCTCTAGTCAAGACACTGTTCTAAGAACACAGATAACAGGACAATTTGTCTAGTTGCTTAACACGATAGTGGTTTTCCTTTGGATAAGCAGGCAAGAAAGATTAAAGATGTGGGTTCCACATATTTTGTGATGTGATGAAATCCAGGCACACAGACAGCATCAGTATATGTGCAATTGAGGATTAAAATGAGTAATGTGGCCCCAGGCAGCACAGCTGCAGCTCTCCGTGGTCGAGGAGTACGTGGAACTCTGCTGGAAGATAGTTTTCTCAAGGGGAAAAGCAGGGTCCATTTGACCATTAGTGCATTTCACTTTAGGGCTCTTTTTGGAACAGTGCGTCTAGTTTTGCAATCGTATTCCAGAAAAATCACCTTCAAGCTTTGATCATAATTAATTAATCAATTATGATGAATGTTGACGATGATTTAGTAAAAGTGGAATGATGACTTAGTGCTCCCCCAGGGCAGAGGTTTCTAAGGAACCTACGCTCTGCCTCCACTGTCTGGCCCCTGCTCGGCTGATCTTCATGGCCTCAGTTTCCTCATCTTAAGAACGAGGATAATATCAAGGACATTGCAGGCTGTCGTGTGGATTAAGTGAGATTAATGAAAGTAAAACACACACACGATGCCTGGCTGGAAGCTACACAATGAGTGTTCACTAAATCAGAATTGGAAACATGCTGTCATGCGCCCCTGAGAGACACACTCCTTCACGGTCTGCAAAGCCAGACTTCGAAATCCAGGGCAGTTGAGGCAATGATGCCAAAGGTAACCAGATCACGCCTCTCCTAGGCTTAAAATCTCCTCCTCTTAGATGGAAATGCCATCCTGCTCCTGCCTGACACCCCAACATCTGTCTCTGCTGT